GTGCAACCACATACGAGGATATGCTTCATACCAATTGCTCGGGGACGAAAACATTTGCTGAAGCAAAACAACTAAGGCCTGTTCAAACTTGAGTTCTCACTCTCCAAGGAAATTATGGAAGCAAGCCTATCATAAACCTGAATAATCGTTGAGATGTTAAGAGTATCCATTTGCCAAAGGATAAAAGATAAATAACAAAGTTCTGAAATTAGTTTCACGGAGCATGTAATGCCAGGATCACATACCTCCGTAAGCTTCTCGGTTTTATCCTTTTTCTTATTATCCTGGTCATTTGTTGGTAAGTCATACCTGTAGAGGAGATGAAGCAAATTGTTATGATTCCATGAACATATATTTTTACACATGCAGACTGGAAAGAGAATTTAAGTCATTTTTCAAAAAGATAGAACAAAGTTGAACTTGATGTACAAAAGCTCTTCCTAATTAATACCAATCCAAAGAACTGCCAAGAAATACAATTTTCTCACCAATCACGAGGAATGCCAGCCTCATCACGAGCTGAATAATTGAAGGGCCCTCTCAACTCCACGTTATACTCTTTTAACAAGTCTGCATGGTTATAGTAAAAAGATCCATATAATGATCAACCTCGCTCTAAGAATGTAGTAGGACTATAGATGAGAATATACACAAATGAAATATGAAAGGGCAGCCAAACCTTTAAATGCGGAAGATGGGGTACAATCCATTTTCTGACAGACATCAACAAACCAATGGACTCCAACAGCCACATGTGCAACTTCTTCATCAGCAATTCTAGCTACAATGTCTGACGTCCTGAGATCTCCAAAGCCAACCAATTTTTGCACAAGTCGTGGTCCAGCATCTAGTCCTCGAGCTTCCTAAAACCAAGGATTACAACTCATCAAATATAAGCTAAAGAGAATAAATCTGGACGAAACACAGATTAAATTGTTTTCTTTTCTTTTCTTTCATGCTTTCTCTTTGTCCTTTTTTTAATGCGTGTGGAGAATACACATGTACACATGTGTGCTTTCTTTTCTTCCCTTTCTTACCAAGGAGTTTGCCCTTAAATTGGTAATAACAACATGCTAAAACGTTGGGGGGAAAAACTAATGTTTCTTAAGTCATCCATCCTCAAATTAACTATATATCCAGATGTTCATGGAGTGACTGATGAGGAATGTATCTTGCAATCTATCAACCATCTCCAATTTTTCATGGTATTATAAACAGCACCAAATCTTAGCTTTTAAAGAAGCAAATGCCCATCACTCTTAACGAGTTATCAATGTTAAAAAATAGCCTCAAGAAGTACATGTCAGGTAAATTAATTGAAGGAAAACTAAGAGTTCAAGAAAATGCCAATCCGGCCTGCAGTAAAGGCAAGTAGATGCAACACAGTTATGCGACATCAAACATTATTGCAAAATAATTTGTTTTTGTGTCCAATATGCATCACTAGAAATCTAAAATTTGGTCATAGTAGCTAAAGGTAGAACAAGAAGCAGAAGAGTTTATATAATATATCAGTCAACTGTTACAGAACTAATCTAGGCTTCTCACGCTTTCTTCCTATAGTTTAACTCAAAAATCCTCTAGACCTCAAGGAATGGTTCACCATAAGTTGACAAAAGTTCTACAGATTCAAAAAATTCATTATTCCAATTGTCCTTTTCAATTTTTGGAGCAGCCATTGTTCTAAAAACCACGAACTTTTACAACTTGATCCCATGTAGTATCAACCGTATAGGCTTATACTCCCTCAACATTCCATACAAATACATACAAAGGTCATAAAGCTCTCTTTATTTGGAGAAGGACATGATAATTTTGAGAGAAATTATACATAAAACATGTGAATATTATCGATAAATACATTCAAATAAAACTTTTCAAATACTACATACATATATATATATGTATGTCCGCACGTTATTATCGTACGGATCCTATTGTAAACAGGCAGGAAAACAGAGAGGAGTAGTACAAAATACACGGTGTCCGCACGATAATAACGTCCGGATGTCCGCATAAGAGAATTTCTGTATATATATATATATATA